TTCTTGCCCAGGCTGGTCTCAAACTCATGAGCTCAAGTAATCCACCCACCTCAGCCTCCCGGAGTGCTAGGATTACAGGTGTGAGCCACCATGCCTGGCCTGACAATATTAATCATAAAGGAAAAAGGCACAATGACTCACATCTGCAATCCCAGTATGCTGGGAGACCAGGTTGGCAGAATTGCTAGAATTGAAAGTTTGAAACTAGCCTGGGTAACACAGTGAGACATTACTCCCCCAAACAAATTAAGAAACATCAGCTTGACTAAATATAGTGTACCTGTAGTCCCAGGTGAGAGGCAGAGGGCACAGGCTAGCTGGAGCCGATGAATTAGTGTGTGCAGTGGATTATGATCACACCAGTGCACTTTACCCTGGGTTACAGAGTCTTCATGAAAATAGAAAAAAACCAAACCAAACCAAACCAAAATAACCTTTAATCTCCAAAAGTGGCATCCTTTTTCTTCAAAGAAATAAGACAGAAATGATTCTCAGTGGTCAATTGAGACCTATTGTTCTATAGATTCTTTCCCAGACACCACCAAGAAAGGTCAGTAAGGACAGCATGTGAAGACATTTCAAAGTTCAGGCTGAAAGTTACAAAAAGTAGTGTTTCCAAGAACCTTAATGAAATAATGAACCTCAAATAATAACCTAAGTATCACTGACCATGTCCATATGTCCTTACATGGTAAGTGGTCATGGTTAAGTGTCATGTCATGCCAGTCAGTGAACTTTGGTTTATAGTTACTCTTCACCATGTAACATCAGACATTAAATACTGGAGAACTAGAGACTGATTTATTTCTTGTGCAAACTCTGACTTCCAAAGTAATGGTCTTTGGGTATTAGCCACATGATAAACATTTCATTTATGTAGTTTTATTAAAGATGTACCTTTAGGTGAGTAGTGAGTGGTTAGGCCTGGATAAAGCCACACACATTACACTTCATTTCTCTTTAGCTTACTCTGTGACACTAATTAATGGTAAAATTTATAATGAAGGCTTGCCACCCTCCAAGAGTTTGCAGTCTCTCACAAATGAGTTCTCTGATGGTGTACAAGGGATGAAAAGTGGCTAAAGACCTTACCACATACATTACATTGGTAAGGTTTCTCTCCAGTGTGGGTTCTTTGATGACTTTTAAGGGATAATTTTAAACTGAAGGCCTTGCCGCACTCATTACATTTGTATGGTTTCTCTCCAGTATGAATTCGCTGGTGATGTGTAAGGGATGTTTTTTCTCTGAAGGTCTTGTCACATTCATTACATTTGTAAGGTTTCTCTCCTGTATGGATTTTATGATGATTTTTAAGGTTAGATTTGTGACAGAAGAGCTTGCCACAGTCATTACATTTGTATGGTTTCTCTCCAGTATGAATTCGCTGGTGACATGTAAGGTATGACTTTTCACTGAAGGCTTTATCACATTCATTACATTTGTAAGGTTTCTCTCCTGTATGGATTTTATGATGATTTTTCAGGTTTGATTTACGACG